GGGAGAGCTGTCCCTAGTTTAAGGGCCTATGGAGTGAGAGAGAAGTTAAGGGAGAGAAGGATGTGTCCTCAGGAAAAAAAAAAAAAAAGCCTGAATACAGGTGATATTCTGCCATTTGCCGGTGTGGTGATAGAAATTTTAAACTTTAGAGAATTAGTAGAAAAGTTTTTTTATAGGCCACTGGGTTTTTACCATCTAGCTTAAATTGTGGCCAAGCTGTCTTGACAGTAGAAAATTAATCGCTTAGGTATTCTGGCCTCATGGAGGCCAAGAGAGCCGAAATTATGGACCAGGAATCCCAATGAGGTGTCTTTTAGGAGCTGGAAATGAGTATTTCCCGTTGTGACCAAATTAAAAGGTGAGCCAAAGATTAGGGCAAAAGCTTGAAGTCACTTCCCACCAAAAAGTCATCACTTTTTAGCCTGGAGTGAGTGTGAGAGAAGGCTAACACTCACTTTATCAGTCGTCACTAGAAAAAGTGGGGAGCCGGGGACCAGATGGCAGAGGAAGACGAGTGGGGACCCCGACGTGAGCTCACAACTTTCAAGAGGAGAGGAAAATACGAGGTGGGATTCCCGAGACGAGTTTTGGGGCTCACCTGTGTGGATTAAAATTGGCCGGTGTTGGATGCAAGCTAGAAGGCAGAAGGCAGAAGCAGAAGCAGAAGGTGGTTCAGTGAGGGAGCTCAAAACCGGGGCACGGCTTGCCCCAGGAGCCACACTACGCACCATTCCAGGTCACAGCACCAAAAATGATAGGTTTTAACGGCGTCGCAGCAGAGAAACACATAGAAGGAAAGGGGATTTATGATAAAGGAAAAGGGACTTCTTTATCTTAGAGGACACGGAGAGAATTTGGGAAGATAAGGAGTTCTCTGGATTGGAACAAAAGGAGGCTGAGGCTTTTATGGCCTTTTCCAGGGGTGGTGCTTGAGGGGGAAGTTTAGATAGACCTGAGGTGCTGACTGGGGCCTTCCCTGAGGTGGCTGGAAAGGTGAAAGGAAACTGCATCCTGGGCCTAGTTGGAGAAGAAGTGGGGAGGTGGTCTCTGGGAAGATGAGCTGTTGTTTTAAGGGCTTCAACCATATTAGATGACCACCATAATAATTCAGCAATTCTTACTAGGGCCATAACCTATCGGGCAACATCTCCGAACCTTTCGTATATCTTCCCATAAGCCATTCCCAAAAGTTTGTAATCCATATGGTCAAGTTTAGCCACAGCAATGACCCCACTCCTGTGGTACCAAATTGTCTTAGTTACTTTTTACTTGCTGCTGAGACAAATACCCAATACACAAAATGAAGGAAGGAAAGGTTTATTTAGCTCACAGTTACTGGAGGTTTCAGTCCACACTCAGCTGGCTCCAAGGCAGAGCAGCACACAGCAGAGGGCAAACTTTCCTGATGGTTGCAAAGAGCAAGAGCAAAAAGGAGTAGGAGCAGCAGCTCAAGCTTGTAGCTTCTCTTCCCACCTTACACTGTGATGCAAATTACCTGCCCCAGGGCAGGTGCAGCATCCACACCCACAGTAATCATTCACAAACTCCAGAAGCTGCCCTATGACCGCATGAAGTTTTGTGTGGACACCTAGACACAAACCATAACAGTAGGTGAAAGCATAGTTTGGCTATCAGAAGACTATGCATGGAGTTAAGTTTGGTCATGAAATTGACTAAGTAGCCCCTAAATGGATGGAAGCTGGAAACTACAACAAAGCAGCCTGCATACCTCAGGGGCAGGCCCATGAATGCTTCCTGCACAGTTGAGCCCCCCACAGTTTGTGTTTTTTCCTGGTCTGACACTTGAAGCCTTCCCTGTATGAAAGCAGTCCATGAGAGACAGCTCATGTCACAAGTGGGAAAGCCAGTGTGGCATGATATAAGCAAGGCCACACTAATTAGCTTAAGAAAGAATGCACCCCCCAGCAAATCTCACAATAGTTGTATTAGTGCCACTTAAGCCTCCTTCTTGTTCTTTAGCTTTCTATATTCCTCTTCTTATATATGTCTTAAGATCTTTTCTCCTGAGTAGCTGCTCCTCATGTTTGTTTAAAGTAAACTCACATACAAATTTTCAGACCAAAATCACACAGATAGGAAGTTTATCCTTTAAGCATTTTGAAATTCAAAAATATTTTCTCTGCAAGCATAAATGCATGTGAAGTATGGCAAAGGCCTTATATAAAGCCCACCTTCTCAAACTCAATGAATAAAAGCAGCCAGGTTCCTTCTTCTATGGAGAAGTCTGGAGAATCTAGCAATGTTTCGCTCACTGATGCTCCTATGTGCCCCTGTGGTGCTACACTCACTGACCTCCCTCTGCACAAAAACATAGAACAGAGGCAATGAGACCCAACAGCCCCCGCTAAGAAGTGCACTGCCTTTGCTTAGTTTTGTGCAGTTCTGTCCTTAACATAAAAGTTAATGCCGTCTTTAAAATTTAGAACAGAAATAATTTTATTCTCTTTGCATTTCCTATCCTTTAACCCAAAATATTGTGGAGTAATTTATTTTAACACTAGTTATGCTTACAAATTTTGATTCATACCTTAAAGTAGAATTTTCTTGGTCATGATTTATTTAAATGTTATAATTTGTTCATTTATTCAGCCACTACTTGTACCACATAAAAGTATGCATAGAGATTATACAACTTGTGAAATTACCAAGTGTTGGGCATGATTTTGTTTTTATAAGAATCACTTGTATAATTCTGTGCATTTTCCTGTGGTCCTGAACCAAACAAAAGCTTCCCCCTGCTGTTTAGGCAGAAATCAGCATTCTAACAATAAAAAAGATGAGGAAAATTATTTATTTGTTCATTCAAAGCTCATTTGCATGGTTAGTAGAGAAAATAAGATGTAACTTTATTATATTATAACATTCAGAGATCAACCATGTGGTTTTCCAAACATTTAATTGTTATGGGAGAGTCAAACAAGCATAGTCTTTTCTGGAGCACTAGGGAAGATTCTCAAAAGAGACAGCAGATGAACTTGATTCTGGTGGAGAGTGTTAGAACCCTGGATGGGAGAGACATTACCAACTCAGAACAAGGGCGTTGAGTCACTCGGCATGCACTGCATAATCCTATGCACTACACAGAAATTTAGAAACCTAACCATATACAGCATTGTAGCGCGACAGTCCTACAACATTTTTTTTCTTGTCTCTATTTTACATTTATTACCCTTTAAAAAAAAAACAACAAACATTTACTTGAGAGACAGTATGGCAGTAATTGGTATGTCATGACAAGCAGTACGTGTTTAGAAGACCAGAATGACAGGCATTCCAAGCATGACCCCACTATTACACATTATTATATGAATTCAGTGCAGTTGCTTAGTTCACAGGTGTCAGCATATATAGTTAGTCAGGGTGAGAATCCTACCAATTAACTGCTAGTTTCAAAAACCTGTTGATGTTTCTCAGAATCATTGTCTTACTCATCTTGTGTGTATAAATGTATGGCTTTGCCCATCACGTTTCCTAGCTTTTCTCCTTGCCCTCTCTTCATTGTCTAATCCTCAAGTTCTCACTTTCCTTAACTGTTAACTCATATTTTTAATTTTTTTCTTCATATTCTATAGAGACTTAAAGTTTAACATATCCATACTTGATGGAGAATACCTGGTCCATGTTATGCCTGATGTTTGATATTCAGACAGATAGGTTAAACCCAACTGCATATGCTGTAGGGTAATAATAAGCTTCTCTCTTGGAGGATTCACAACCTAAGTTTGCAGGCCAAAAATTAGAGACAAAAAAGGGCTGCAAGGACAGCCAACATTTTCTCCCTAGCCTTTCAAGGTCAGTGAAAACTCAGAACATATGGGAACCTGTACTATAACATCATGTAACACAGTTGTGTCCCAACTTTTCTGATCAAGGAGATTATGGGTCCACAGAGGAAAGTGATTGGTGATGTAGATTGTGCCTAGGCAGAGTCACATGGAGAGAAAATATTCCCTCAGGCTTTCACAGAGAGCAAATTGGTCAAGCAATGGTCGTGACTCATCCACATGGCTGCCACTGACAAAGGATCTACAAAGTGCAGTACAAGGTTTCAGCATAAATCCTGAGGGGACTTGACTGATCTTGTCAGATACAAAAGGTACATTTCTTATTATATAGGTCCTACTTTATCTTGGCCTTAACCATCCAGCAGAAAGTTATAAAAATGAGGTATAAAGGGTGAAGCCATGTTGGTATGCTGGGCTGTAAAGGGCTCAAGGCAACAACTTCTGACATTGCCAGTCCTGTGGATGACCCACTACTATTATGGACTACTGGACTATATTGGAATATTTTGCTGAATTCATGCATATTTTGCATGTTCATTCACATCAATGATCCGATATTTCCTTAAACATGTCAAAGAGGCTATGATCACTGTCCCTGAAAGAGGACAGCCCATAATCAAGGATTTCCCAAGTTAAAAGATGTATCAAAGTCGGTAATGAATACACATAATACATTTATAGCCCTGATTATGTACAAGGATTATCTGTTATTAATTATGCTGATTATCTTCTTAATGTAACCTCTAGACTATGAATCAGCAGGCTTTTCTGAAAATTTACAAAATAGAGCAAAAGTATTTTTTAATTAATTGCCTGACTCTTCAGGATTGTCAGCTTCACTGACATTCTCATATATTTGTATACACTTTAGATGTGCTTAAGCAGTTAAATTGAAAGGATATCATTAGTTTTCAGTAGCTTCTGAATAACTGGGTTTTCCCCCTGAGCAGATTGTTTAATATTACTCTTCAGATTGACAGCTTTCTGTCACAATGCAGTAGCTCTCAAAGGGACAGTCAGTTGCACAGTTTGGGGACTATATCTTAAGAATGTAATTTATTTGTTTAACAAATCATGGCATTTAAACCAGTAGAACTGCATTTAATGTAGTCTCTCTTACTAGATCATGTTGCAAAGCTCTGGAGGGATGCAAACTGCTACAATGAATTAAAACACAATTTCTTTTTTTCCCTGGATATTTCTAAATGCAGATAAAATCCGGCTGGGAAATCTACCAACTGGCTCCTCCTCCTCCTCCTCTTCTTCTTCTTCTTCTTCTTCTTCTTCTTCTTCTTCTTCTTCTTCTTCTTCTTCTTCTTCTTCATCATCATCATCAAGCTCCTCGAATTCTCGACAGACAGTGTATGAACTATGTGTCTGCCCCAGTGGCAAACTTTACCTTTCTCCAGCAGGAGTGGGTTCCACGTGTCAGTCCAGTAGCACCATCTGCTTGTGGAGCTGAAGCGACTGATTTCTCCTCACACCAGAAAAGCCTTTTGTTCCCGTTTGTCTGCTTCACAGTTCTGCTCGGTTTCCCTTGTGATCAGTCCAGAGCTTCTTCAAATGGTCCACAGAGCAACTTCTTTGAGTACAAGCAGGAATTCACTTCCAAATCTCTTGTGATTCACCAAACTGCGAACATGTACTGTTTGAGTGACCCAGCGGTGGAAAAGTCAACTTCAGCAAGAAAATTGGATCATAACTTTTGCTCAAAAGGGAGAATTAATATAGGTGCCTTTGCTACATGAAGTGAAGCACACAGTTTTAGACTTTTGCAGACCCTGGAAAAGAACTGCACATATATACATTACATAGATGAAATTCCCAGTATCTAATGGCGAGATGAAATGGTTAACCCTGTAAGAAAACAAATTCTACAGTCTGAAAGCACAATTTTCCATTCATATTTTTGGATGTAAACTTTTATCCCCAAGTTTTAAATTTTTGAAGCATTATGTAATGCTTGCTTTACTAAAAATTAAATTCAATAAGAGTTTTTAACAAAAACAAAACAAAATGTGGTACAATCCCTCCTTGAGTTTTATTTGTTTCTTTAAATTCAGTGTGTTGTTACTCTTTGTCTACTAAGTCTAGAATTTTGTACATTAGGTAATTTTGAAGGCACTCAGCAATATAATCTCTACATAATTAACACAATGCCATAATATTGTTGTTTGTCAGATCTGGATGGCCTTATATCATAGTTACTTGGCTATTGCATGTGATGTATTTGCTTTTCACAGAACACCTAATTTATTGCAATAAGGTAGGACTAAGAAGGACGTAATTGATAGTATGGAATTCAGCAATCATTTCCTTAAAAATTCACTTGCTATTACTAACACTTAAATTTTAAGAGTATGAAATTTGTTTGTTCCATTCACTTTATATTTGATCTTGACTGATAAAATTCAAACAACATCTAAATAAATTCTTATGCAATGCATAATGCTGAGAATGGATTCACTTTCCACTGGGATGCAGTCTTCAAAGTTATTGCCCATTACTTAACCTCGAAAGTTATTATTTAAGGAGGTTAAAATTAAATATTCCTGACTAGTAAAAATGACAAGTGTTAATAAGTACTTTGAAAGTGTGTTTACTTTGCTAGATTAATTCTATAAGGAATTGCCATTTTTTCTCTTCAGCTGCTAACATTTAGGCACTTTTATTAAAATATGAAGCTATTCCAATAGAAATCACAGCGCCTTCTGATCTCTACAACTTATTTTTGTAAATTACCTCCTAATAATTAACTTGAAAACAGTGTAGATTTGTTTATCACAACCTCTTTCAAATTCTTGAAACTTACAGAATATATATATATATATATATATATATATATGTTTTAAGTATTTCATATTACAGGAAGATGGCTGGATTACTCTAAGGTAAGTTCTTAATTTTCACCCACCAAACAATATTTCTACTCATATGCACTGTAGTAATAGATGTGTACACATTTCATTTTGGGGATACCTGGCCAACAGAGTTATGAAGTTAAGGTAAAGTGGGAGATGGAACTTGTTGAAGTAGTTTTGCTAATGAAAGTGGGAGAATTGTGTAATTTAAGCAACAAAGTGAACCATTAGAATTGTTTAAATTGGAAAAGTTCCATTTCACTGAATGAGTCTTGAACTTAAGAGCAAGGTTGTGTATTTATTCCTCAATGATTGTTTTTAAAATAGAGGCTCATTTGTGTCTTGAGTTTATAATGTAAATCTTTGAATACATTTGGAAGAAACTTTAAGACACATAAGCGCTTAGAACCTTACAAAATAATATGGAATTTAATCTATTCCTATTTAAATATTAGAATTTAGGTTTTTTTTTAATTCATTCAATAGCTACGCTATGTATTGAACATTTGACTAATAGGAACACAGACATGATGAAAGATAAAAATGGAGCACATTGTCTAGTGGAGAAATAAATTGATGGCTCAGTAAATTCCAACTGTGTATGAGAACCCCTGAGTCATGTTAAGTGTTTTTCTGACCACCACAGTACATTTGTCTTAATCTGGATAGACTGATCAAAATTAGTACTCCCATGCTACAAAATTATTTCTGATGCTATCATCAAATTGCCCTTTATGCTGATGAATGCTAGAATCATGGATGAAGACCAAGGTTAAATCTAATGGAAATTCACACATTAATCTTTGTGTGACAGAAGAGATTTAGAGAAAATGTTGGTGCTATTTACTACATTGTGTTAAGGGAAAAAGTTGCATTAATGTAAGACATATCCAAGTTCTATTCATACTCAATTAAAACAATTAGAAACTTTCTTAAAGGTGAAACATTCCCCTGACTAGTAGTACAACCTTTTCGTCATTGTTTTAGTTGTTAATTGAATTGACTTGGCAAAAAAAAAATAGTATTAAGCCACATATCCTTGTGAGGTTCCTTTATCTCTAACATGTTCTGATTCTAAATATGAAAACTATGGATTTTAGATAGGAACACTGGAGTTTTGAATTATTTATCAAAAGGGGTAAAATGATGAAAACAATAAAAAGAGAAAAACCAACTCTGTAGACAGATTTTCAATTCACATACATCGGGAAAGCAGAAAATAATTCAAAAGTAACACAGAAACTTGAATAATTAAACTAGCATTTTGAGTTGGTGTGAAAATATCTGCTCAACATAGTAATAAAAGATGATACAGAGACTTCCATCTTTCTCCAAATTATAGAAAAGTTTCTTGACTGACTCTTAGATTCTTCAGAATGAAGTATAGACCCAGTGCCAGATTTCAGGATGTTACTCTAAGCTTATAAGATTGATTTTAGAAGTCCTGGCCTTCCTTATTAAACACAAAGTTGGTTCTTTCATGACACATACATCTCTGAATTGCAATCTATTCAAAGAGATTCATTGTATGTTTTCCTAAAACCATTTTTATACCTAAACATATATCAATATAATTAATGTACATTACTGAAAGAATGGAAATGTACCTGCTCACTAAATTATACTCAAAAAATTATTCATTTAAAGTATACTATATGGGCCATACTCAGCTATCTTGGTATTCAGACCTTCATTTTTGATTCTTTATCAGGGAAAAGAAGAATAAAATAGAAAGAAAGAGAATTGGTCGTGTTCCTAGCTTTTAAATTCTTTGCCAGAAATGCATAAAATGAGAGGTATCTAAGTACAATTTTGGATAAGGGATTAAAATGAGAGATATAAAAGGAACACACCTTTCTTTTCTTTCACAGGATATTTCAATGAGAAACTTCAGAAAATAAAATAAAAATAATATTTCTGGTTCGCTTCTAAAGTGTAGGTATTTGTATTATTTTCTATTTTGCAAGCCATAAGTCTCAAAATCTAGGAGATAATCATGTTAGAGTTTAGACAACTTTATACTCCAAATTTTACTACAACTTAGAAAGCGTACACTATACAATGTACATTATCTGAAAATGGAGCCACAAATTTTATTACCAGTCAACTTCCTTAAGAAATAATTTTAATTATCTTTTCCATTTATGTGTCTATGGGAGGGACACAATAGGTTAAAAATTTGCCTTGGTCACATTCATATCTAAATTGAATTAATTCACTAAGCAAAATCCAGATATATGTAGTTCAACATTCTCATCTCAACTAGTGTTTGCCATTGTCTTTAGTATCTTAAAAAGCAACTTGTATATGTGACAGTATAAACATTCCAGTATCCTACTGAATTCTGTTCTTTTTCTGCTCTCCATCTTTTGCTGTACTTCAATATTAAGTTACCTTTGAAGAACTCATGCATAATTGATAGGCTTCTGTATTATGTTTGATGTTAAAAAGAGAATGAATTTATTTGGATCTCATTCAAAATAACTTTTTAGAAAAATGATAGACATATTTACCAAAATGAACCTTCTGTTGATGTTTTGATCATTATAGAAAAATAATTATTCTTTTTGAAGAACAGATCTTTTGATCACTGAGGTCAATTGTCAAACTTTTATAATGTTATGTTACTGAAAATGTGTACATGTTCTACCACCTACAGCACTTATTTGTGCATTGTCACCTTTTACCAAGATGATGGTTAGGACCCAAAAAGGTCCTGGTGAATTATATCACTGTAAATCTGACATCTTTGTATGAGGCAGCAGTAGTCTAGAGAGTGATGCATATAAGCATTTTAATTTATAGTAAATGCTCTCCGTGTCATCATATTAAATGACTACAATAACAGAAGGTATCTAGTAAGGAAATTCTCTACACAGTTAGCAAAGCCAAATTTACATTTGAGTTCTATCCAAGTGAAGTCTTCTCACCTTCTACGGCAACAGCTTTGGTCTACTTAGAATTGTTCATATGGTCAGACTTAAAGATACATGGATAAATTACTTGCTGTATCTACTAGTATAGATTATACTTATGAATGTTGCAAAAATATCATAACATAGAGTAAAATGAGATTTATTTTAAACAAGTTTAAATTAAAGTTATTTCTATTATTTTAAACTGGAGTCCATTAGTTATTTTAGTGTCAAAGACCAAAGACTTGGATTTCTATTATATCCAGCTCTACAACACTGCTGCTTCAACTAAGTCATTAAAATACACAAAGAGACTTATAATTATAACAGTAAGTGGTACACATTGTCCTCGGGAGATTTTGAGCTGTAGCCATTAGTTGACAATTTTGCCATAGAAGAAAAGCTTTGTTCCAGTGGTTCACTTATCCTTTACATATGCATAAGGAACTCCTCAGTGTCCATAAAACCATGGTGTAAAGACTATACTCTTAAATAGGCTCAGGATGGATTAACTCAGCTGAGTTTAAACTTTTATTGCCTGCTATTAATTATTTGAAGAATACAATGAATTTAAAATGCTTTCAGAATCAGAGGGCTATTTTTTTAATGTTAATTGATGTGGCTCCACTCATTGCAAAAGTTAATGAAAAATATTAAAGGATTAAAGCATGAGGTATAATGAAATATATTTTTCTTTCTTTCCAGTCTTAATATGTCATTTGTTTGAATATTTATAAGTA